GTGTATTTGTATGACACTCTAGTTTTTAGCAAGACCCTCCAGGAGCATGAGGGCCATCTAAGGCAGGTCTTGGAGAAGCTTACAGAAGCTAACTTCAAGATCAATGCAAAAAAGTGCGAATGGGCCAAGACACAAGTTCTGTATTTGGGCCACATCTTAAACGGAGACTGCATCAACCCTGAAAATAGCAAAATAACAGCGATTAGAGATTGGCCAACGCCTCGCACGTTGACAGAGCTGCGGTCGTTCTTAGGCCTAGCTAACTACTATAGGAAGTTCGTTAGGAACTTCTCTACCATTGCTGCACCCCTTCGCAAGTTGCTAAAGAAAGAAGCAATATGGAAGTGGGACAATGATTGTATATCAGCCCTGAAGAAGTTAAAGCGGGCTTTGATAGAGTACCCAGTCCTTAAGGTAGCTGATCCGTCCCCGCCTTTCGTTGTTACTACCGACGCGAGTCGGTACGACATAGGTGTTGTTTTACAGCAAGACGATGGCAATGGATATAGGGCCGTAGAGTTCATGCCTGCCAGAATGCCTTCAGAGAAGGTAGCGACATCCACCTATGAGAGGGAACTCTACGCTCTCAGGCAAGCACTAGAGCACCGGAAGCATTACTTGCTTGGGAGACATTTCTAAGTCTGAATTCATGCTTGCCAGAATGCCTTCAGAGAAGGTAGCGACATCCACCTATGAGAGGGAACTCTACGCTCTCAGGCAAACACTAGAGCACTGGAAGCATTACTTGCTTGGGAGACGCTTCAAAGTCTATTCAGACCACGGGACACTAAGGTGGTTGAAGACATAGGCCAAGATGACACCTAAGCTTACTAGGTGGGCCACAAAGTTAGATCAGTATGACTCCGAACTTAAGCCAGTCAAAGGGAAGTATAATGTAGTAGCGGACGCTCTGAGTAGGAGAGCTGATTACTTTGGGGTAATAGTTCACTATCTGGATATAGGGAGAGACCTGCAGCAGAAAGTTCGAGAAGCGTATGCACAGGACCCTATCTACCTCCTCAAGAGAGTTAGAAAGTCCCCAGAGTCCGAACCAGACTACCGCACTACTGGCGGATTACTATTTGAGAAGACTAATGTAGCTGACCGTCTGTGCGTTCCTAGCAGTGAAGAGATCCGTAGTTTGATCTTAGGGGAATGCCACGACACAGAGGGACATTTTGGTTGGCAAACGACACTTGCTAACCTCATGCGCGCATATGTATCGCCTGGTATGAAGGCCGACTGCATAGAGTATGTACGCAGTTGTAAAGTCTGTCAGAGAAACAAGACTACCACGTAAGCCCCTCTTGGTCTTCTCAGACCCTTGCCTATTCCTGACAGACCCGGAGATTCTGTGTCCATTGACTTTATGGATACTCAGGTCAAGAGTAGGCATGGCAAAAGTCAAGTCATGGTTATAGTAGATAGATTTAGCAAGTATGCAATTTTCATTCCTTTGCCTTCAGAGGCACGCAGAGATTTAGTAGTTCAAAAGTTCTTTGACCATTGGGTCAGTGAGCATGGTATATTGCTGTCTACAGTTAGCGACAGAGACACCAGGTTCACCAGTCAGAACTTGTAGGAACTGATGAAAGTTTATGGCTCAAAGTTGCTGATGTCATTTGCCGTCATCCGGAGACTAACGGTCAGACTGAACAGATGAATAAGCTCCTGCAGCAAGTTCTTAGGATGTATATTAGGCTCGACCAGATCAACTGGGATGAGATGCTTCCAAAAGTAGCCAGTGCATACAATAACAACGTGCACTTATCTACATGTCGCACTCCCAATGAACTGCACAAGTCCTTTAGACCGCGCAGACCATTTGAGGGACTTAACCAGGATCAGATTCAGAGGCTACCGCCCGGTACACGAGAGTTTGCGGTACAGCACGAGAAAGAGATAGCTACCATTGTAGCTAACCTCAGGAAAGCCAGCACAGAATGATAGAGCAAGCTAACAAGCACCGTCGCCCCTCACAGTTTCAAGTAGGCGACTTAGTCTGGGTCAAGTCAAAGGAGTTTGCCCCTGAGGATAACATCTCACAAAGTTACTGCCAGCGTATAGAGGACTGTGGCCAGTCTTAGAAGTCAAGGGTGGAGAGGATGGACCGTCCTACACTATTGAGATTCCAGCACACCTCCAGACCTACCCAGTATTCCATGCGCCAAAGCTGTTGCCTTGCATCACAAGTCAACAGTTTCCATCACGCAGATCTATGATTCCTCCAGATATGGATGGAAGATATGACATTGATGGTATAGTAGGTGAGGACGTCTTCAGGACAGGAGGTAGAGGTCATCCACAGAAACAGTACAAAGTCAGATTTGCCTTTCAAGAGCCAGAAGACGACTGCTGGTACACACGAACAAAACTTCTAGAGACAGCTCCAGAGCTTACAAAAGAGACAAGAAAGGTAAAGGTCCTGCCTTAGACTGAAGTATTCTCGGGGGACCTCGAATTTAGGCCGGCGGGAGTGAAACGGTTTTCACCTGTTTGCAGTCACAGATGCGGGCCCTAGAGTTCGATCCCTAGACCTCACCTTACCCATGTACAGTATTGAGTTGACTTTCGAGTGTTTGAATCCGTGACCTGTGTTTCGATAGTTGTTTGTTTGTCTGTCGTAGGTCTGTGTAGATGTAAGGGTTCGATCTGTAGGTCTGTCAAGTAGGGGTCATATCTGTGTAGAGGTCGAAACTGCTAGGCTAAAGGTCTGTAGGTGAGTCGTAGGTCCAACTGCGTTGAGTCGGCAGTGCAACCTCATGCAGTCGAAGTTGCCAGTCCCAGTCGTATTGAGTTCGGAGCAAGTACCGTGTGGGACTGTGCACACCCAGGGCCTGGTGGAAAGAGGCAGACCAGCAGCAAACAGAAGTAGAAATCAGGAGCAGCGCCCAGCCATTTGGACATTTGCTGCGTAAGCCATGTGGAAGCGCTGCTACAGCGTCTTGTGCGAAGGTGGTCTGCAGGTTGCCCGAAGACGAAGTGGGCTGAAGAGCGAGATGGTAGTCATAGCCAGTAGCTGTAGAGCGGCCATAGCCGCGATAGGAAGAAGATAGGTTTAGTGTGTGTGTGTGGTGGTATTCAGGGTGATCCAGAGTTGTGTATGTGTGAAGGGTGGTGTTGGACACAGTAACGAGACTCGAGTGTGCAGGCGCTGATGTGCCAAGTTTGTCGAAGTGATTTTGCATCGGAACTGTGTTCTCGTTTTCCATATCTCTGAGCTTTGAGTGGGCGCACATCTGATTGCACACACACACATGCTTCCACAGTTCACACCCGAAGTGGTCCTGTCTGGTCTGTAGGGGTGGCAACTTACCATAGGCAACGGCTGGTCCTAAACTCAAAATCTTATGCAACGCAAACACTGGCTGGCCTCATGTGCCCTTCTAGAGTAGTGCGCACCGTCACATGTCTGTGCTGTCCTTTGGACTCCAGTTCCTCCCATACACTTTCTCCCTCCCAAGCCCCTTACTCCCTACAGAAATCCGATTCCTACCCCTTTCCTTTTACCCTCCCCTTATGGGCTACTAGCAAATAACATACGGATGAGCATCATTTGGAGAACAGACGAAGTATAAGCTGAAGATCTGAAGGGAAATGAACAGGAGTATACCTTCCCCTTTACTCTGCCTCCTTTCATAACGTTTGCAAGTGAGCCGTGAAGGCACACGGGGATGTGGGCAGCTGCCGCTTAACCACAATCAATGTGAGCAGCCTTGTACGTGCGAGACACAGGAAAAGGGCAGCTGCAGGAACAAATGGAAGGATAACCAAAAAACTGCCTAATTGTAAAATTGCTTAAATATTGGACTGTCTGAACTCAAGTGCTCTCATGCTCTGCAAGAGGACAAAAGCTGCTTTATCTACTCATCTGGGTGGAATTGGGGCTGTTGTGAGGAAATTCTAAACACACCCTCCCACACCCACATGACCCGAGCCACACACACACACACACACACACACACACACACACACAGACACACAGACACAGACACACACACACAGACACACACACAGACACACATATTTCTTTCCTTCCCGTTGCCCCTACCTCCCCTGCCCCATACTCCTATAGAACTCCGCCTTCTATCCCTTACCCTCCACCCTCCGCTCCACTCCCTTTGTGCTACTAACAAATACATACGAATGAGCATCATTAAGAGAACAGACGATATGAAGATCAGAAATGAAATGAACGGAAGTATGAAGATGAAGGACGATATATGCTGAAGATCTGAAGTGAAATGAACAGGAGTATGCCGCTCTGCAGAGAAATGCACAGGAGCATACCTTCCCTTTAACTCTGCCTCCTGAAATAACGTGCAAGTGGGCCGTGAAGGCACACGGGGATGTGGGCAGCCGCCGCTCAACCACAATCAACGTGGGCAGCCTTGTGCATAAGAGGCACAGTAAAAGGGGAGCTGCAAGAACTATGAAAGGGGCACCCCCCAAGGACAACCAAAAACCTGTCTAATTATAAAATTGCTTTAATATGTTGGACATCTCAAATGCTCTCGTTGTCTGCAATAAGACAAAGACTGCTTTGATTCTGAATCTATTCATCTGGGTGGAATTGAGGCTGTTGTGGGGAAAATCTATAA